CCACTCGTAGAGTTTGCACTGAAGAATGCAGTGCATTCGTCTACCGGCTACACGCCGTGCTACGTGAACGGGCTGATTCACCCTCGCGTCCCGCTGATACCGCCATCCTATGGCTCAGGGCTTGGTGGAGTAGGAATCGCCGAATGGCTAGCTGATATCAGCCCCCTCACCATTCGTAAAGAAGTCGATGACTTCTTGTCTACCAGACTGAGTGTGCTATGACACGTTCGCGATGCGATGGCTGAAAGCCAAGACCTGCATATGCAGATGAAAAAGGAAGAGGCGAAATGGAAAGCTTTAAGGTCGGAGACCTGGTTTAATTGAAATCTAAAACCTGCCCACACATGCAGCCTCTGCTATCTTCCAGACGAAGCTTCGTTCAGGGTTCATCGGACCGTTAAAGGTTGTGGCCAAGCGGGGCCTAGCGAATATTCTAAATCTTACCAAACGGATGCGCACCCAACCGGTGTTTTACGTGGGTTTGCTCAAGCCGTACCGGGACCCGGCGCAAGTGAACGCAGAAGCGTTGGCGCCACAGCGGATCCCACGAGCTCTCGGCCACCCAGAAGCTGAACCAGCAACTGGTTCTGAGCACGAAGTGCAGCAAGCTCCATTTCAATGGCGTTAAGCGCTCCACCGGCGCACGCAGCGACGCATCCGCCTGCTCCACGACTAGGAGTCGCTCCAACAGAGCGCGGTAGGCCTCAAGGTGAGGCAGCCGGCGCACGACGTGCTTCAATTCATCAAGAGCGTCCGCATAGCGATATGCTAATTCACCATGACGCTCAGCAGAGCTCTGATCACGAAGGACTTCGTCCTCAAGAGCTCGAAGAGCATCTCGAGTCACCAGACGGCGGTAGACCCGGTCGTCACCGCCAGCCCCCGTCTCTTCTCGATGAGATCAGCGACGTCCACAATCACGTGGAACGTCTAGTGAGACGACGTCGTCACCAGGGTCTAGCCCAATATATGGTGAAGTGGCGAAGATATCCCGACTCCGAAAACTCGTGGGAGTTTGAGGCGCCACTTCGGCAAGATTGCACAGTCGCCGTGGATGCTTTTGACCGGAAAGATCAGGACGTCCCGCGTCATCAGACGACCCGCGCTTCCCGGCGATAGCCAGGAAAGTAGACGGGCCATGAGCTGAGCTCAAGCAGTAGCCCTGAGCTCTTGCAGTCACAGACACAGAGCTCGTGGGAGCGTTAAGGGTTAACCCATACGGAGCAGGGCGACAATCCGAAGAAAGTCGACGTCGTGCCTTAAGTTTGGCAAACTCAAATCGGAGGTCTCGCTCCACACGCACGTCCACTTCCTTGTGGATCAACTGTAGGTTATACAGTGAGGAAAGCTTCCGGTGCGGTTGCACCCGTCGCTCGAAGAGCGCTTCGTCATCTGTAGCGCTTTCGCCAGGGGCGAGCACTACGGGTATTGTCCGCATTGCGGGTACACGAGAGCCACCTCGTTGAGCACTCAGACGAGTGGGATAAGCTATCAACGGAAATTCTTGTGGAACCAAGAAACGAGCTCGAAGAGCTTCCGTTTGGCAAGCTCATCTCCCGTTCTGGCCGGGGGCCCGATGATGTGGACGCGTAACGATCGAGTTCCCGCGTTCTTCGCTTCCACAGCGGGATCCGCTGGGCGGAAGCCATGTTTCACACGTGGGTCAATGACCGGCCGTGGATGGGCGCGCTACAGAGCCGCCTTATGGACAGCTTCCAGCTGCCACCTCTGAGCCCCGTCGAGGTCATTGGTGATTACACCACGTCCCTCAGCTGGCGAGAAGGCAGGGAGCGA